CTTCTTCTGTTCCCTCCTCCCAAACGGAGCCAGAGGACACTCAGAAAGACACAAGTCCTCTGAAGATGCCTGAAAACGCAGGGGCTACACAAAAATACTCCAGACGCACAGGGACCTAGAGGCAGCAAAAATGGGTCACGGTGAATTACACGAGTGTCCATCTGGGAGATTTTTCAAAACGCAGAGACAAAAAAGATCCCCATGGATCACAAAAGTACACAAATGCATGCAATAAACCTGAGACCCACACTCTATAGGAAACACATCACCCTACCCCTTGAAATGGTTGTGACAAAGTGACACCACCATACAAGTGGCAAGATCATGCTAACTCAGTGAACTCTCATAGACCTTCCTAAAGCCTGAATATTCAGTGGAAGGACTGATGCTGAAGCGGAAGCTCCAATACTTTGACCACCTGATGCAAAGAGCTGACTCACTGGAAAAGACTCTGATGCTGGGAAAGACTGAGGGCAGGAGGAGAAGAGAAGAACAGAGGATGAGATGGTTGGATGGCATCACCGACTCAGTGGACATGAGTTTCAGCAAACTCTGGGAGATAATGAAGGACAAGGAAGCCTGGTGTGCTGCAGTCCATGGGGTCACAAAGAGCCCAATATGACTTAGATACTGAACACAACAAAGCCAGGTAAGGAGTAAAACACACATTCACTCTCAGAGCAGCCATCACACCCCAATAGCTTGCTCATTGGTGATGCATTTCTGGTGCTGGAAGGCAAACCTTTCCTTCAAAGACATGTTTTTCCTCTCCCAGTTCACAGCAGAAAGCATCATCAGATGAGGTTCTGAGAGGCAACTGCATCAGTCATCAAGTTTCTTAAAACTGAACAAACAAAACTGAATCAAAATCACAGCAGGTGAACACTGGAAAGGACTTCCTCAGAAAACAGAAAGTTCAAGATCCCAAGGGGTAAGACTGGGCTTCTCCCGGATCAACTGCAGTAAGAGACGCATTCTGCAGCCAGGACTAGGAGTCAGCCCCATCAAGGTAGATGGAAGGACAGAATGACCCGCTGAGGCATGTCCCCCACACACTCCCCGGAAATTGCTGGCCTGAAATGATCCGGGTCAAGTTGCTTCAATTAATGAAAATGGAAATGACAAGCTGGCTTGGCGCAGGCCATCAAGAAGGACTATTCTGGGCTCTCAGCCACTCCCTCTGCCAACTGGGCCTAGAGACTGACATCAGACTGAGATCCTCAAGAAGGAATTAGGGGCAGAAGAACAGGCAAGAAGATGTGCAGGAAAATCCCATTGCAGTTGTTTTGTTTTTGACAGAATGAGGACCAAAATAAGGAGAGAGAAAAAGGGGGAGAGAAAGTTTCCCCAAATACATTAAATACATTATAATTCAACCTTGACTGGTAAGCTTGGGCTGGGGCCAGGCTTGGCATTAAGATCTCTGAAGAAGAAAGCAATTTAGCCTCTCCCAAAGCAATTTATTTCTGTATCAACTGATGGTCATACCTGGGAAGTTTATCCATGTGTCTAACATCAATGTCTCATGCTCCAATTGAAATTATTTCCTTCTTTAGGGCATTAGGAAAAATAGAAAACTGCTGGCCTACATCCTCCTAAAGAGGAATATTCGGAGAATTAAGACCTAGCCTGGGCTGGGCCTTAGTCTCTATTCCTCCCCTCCATTCCACTCATCTTTGCCCAGTGTATGCCCAGGCTGTTTCTGACCTTTTTTGTTTCAGCACCTGGACACCCCCTAACATACCTACTGCTGTTTTCCATCCTAGAGATTCATGGAACAAGAGATCAAAAAGGAAACCCCCTTTTCATCTCCCATAGAGCCAAGCCCAACCCCTGGTTCCAGCCAATCCTGGCCTGGAGCTCATCCTTGCAGATAGGGCTGGGAATTCTTGGGGCAATCTGACACCATGGTCCCCTTTTTTGAACACCCACTCCATGGAAGTGGCAAGACCCAGAAGGTGATGATAGAAGAACTCCCCAGCCACCACCCTATCCCACTGGCACACAACCTCTTGCCCACATGGAGAGCTGATCCCTTCCTCAGTCCATGTACCCAGAGCACTGTGTTTAGAACTTGCTCACAACACCTCTCCCGCTTGATTTATACTATAATCATATGCTTGTATCTCCTAGGGTCCGACAGTGAGCAATGTGAGGGCAAAGAACCATCTAATTTACCTCTGTCACCCTCTGTGGTACCTAGTATAGGGAAAGGCACACAGCAGACATCAATAAATGTTTGTCAAATTGGGGAAGTGAAGGACCACACAGCAGTCAGACACGACTCAATCTTCCTTTAAGCCATCCTGTTTCAGAAAGGGAAAAAAAAAAAAAAAGAGGAAAAGTCTCTTTCCTCCCAACACACTCCATCCTGCAGAGTTTCAGAAGCACCCCTACCCCCAAGCCCAGTTTGGTTTCTATCCAGTTGAATATGTATACTTGTGTGCATGTGTGTGTGCATGCATACATGTTGGGGTGGGACTTAGAAGACCCCATCACTCCTCTGAACCAGAACTGGCATCACCATCACTGGCAAAAAACAATAAACTCTGAAGATACTCATGCTAATGGATGGACACTCTGGGGTAGATCTCCAAACCCAGATCTGAGCATGGCTTGTACATTCATCCTGGACACCTACTGTGCACCAGGTGTAGGGTTATACACGACGAAAGGAATATGAGACCCTCTCCTTGCCTCCAGGACACCCAATGCAATCCTGTCTTCACCTTGGCTGCATGTCCAGAGTACAAAGAGAAAAACAGATACGAGGCTGTGCTTCAGACCTCCCTAACCAACATCTCTTATTAAAGTGGAGCTGGGACACTTTCCTTTTTTAACGCCTCTACATGTGAACTGATTCACAGTTCTATCCAATAGAACTTTCCACGATGATGGAAGTTCTGTGTCTGCATCATCCAATCAGTAGCCACTAGCCATGTGTGGCTCTTGAGCACCTGCAGTATGGCAAGTGACTGAAGAGTTGAATTTTTCACTTTGCTTCATTTTAATTAAACTGCCATGCATGGCTAGTGGCCAGCGAATCAGACTGCAAAACTCTTGATGATTTCACATCACTTCAATTTGGCTTTAAAATACTTTTCACAACATTGGGTTTTTTTGTTTTATTTGGCTGCACCATGCAGGTTGTAGGAGCTTAGTTCCCTGACCAGGAATCGAACCCAGGCCTTGGCAGTGAAAATGCAAAGTGCTAACCATTGGGCTGCCAGGGAACTACCTCACAGTATTGTTTTTTTTCCACAATATTGTTTTGTAGCAGCTGACATCACCATTCCCTTTGGCCCAGGAGAAAATAATGAGATTCCCCTCCCTAAGAACCCTCCCATTTGTACTGAAGAACCTGCTTTAGAATGGATGGGGAGTAGGGGCCAGTCTGGTGGGTTAAGGCCCATCAGCCAGCTAAACCATCACACCAGCCTCCATCCCCAGACTGGAGAAAAGGCAGTGAGTACCCATTTGTTGGTGGTTGACATGAGTCAGGGAAGAAAAAGCAGCAATGTTTCAGGTGTCTGTTATGGACTGAATTGTGACTCCCCAAATGCCTATGTTGAAGCCCTAATCCCCAAGTGACTTGGAGAGATATCTGGAAATAGAGCCTTAAAGAGGCAATTAAGTGAGGTCAAAAGGGTGGGTGGGACCTTCATCCAAGAGACAAGGTGTCCCTTCTAAGAAGAGAGATACCAGGGAAGTGCAACAAAGATCACAGGAGGACACGGCAAGGAGGCACGCCCGGGAGAGAGGCCTCAGGAGAAACCAAATCTGCTGACATCGCACCTTGGACTTCCAGTCTCCAACACTGTAAGAAAATAAATTAAGTCCCCCAGTCTGTGGTATTTTGTTATGGCAGCCCTAGCAGACTAACATGGTGCCCTTGGGGAAAGGGAGGCCTAGGACTTTTTCAGGCCCAGGGATGTATTAAGCCCCTCCCTAAAAAGATGCACCCCTAGAATTGAGGGCAACACCACCACTAGAAGCCAGATCCAGCAGTGACTCTGCCACACCTAAGTCATCAAGTCATCATGTTGGTCACTATTCAAGGGCCTTTACACTCTGCCCAACCCTACCCCTACCACCTCATGATTCTCACCCCAATGCTAGGCTTTCACACTTACCAACTCTATCACCCCCAGACATCTTCCCTACAAACGAATTCCCTCCCTTCCCATTCCTGACCCCACTGCACCTACACTGCCTCCTGTACCGGCCGGCCCCTCCCTCCTCCATCTGTTGGCTGTTTTACGTGCATGTGTTCTATGCACCTCACTTCCTTCACTGGACTGCAAATCCTCAAAAATTAGCCTAGCATTCAATTCCTTTCACAAGCTGGTCCCAACTTACTCTTCTGCTTGTTTGCCCAGCTGGGCCAAGTCAGTATTAATCTACCTGCCAGCCCATGAATCTAACAGTGCTCTTCTCTATGCTCTCCAAAACTGTCTCGATCTCTAAAGCCACCTGAAATGCCACCTCCTCCAGAGAGCTCTCCCTGACTACCTTAGCTAAATATATAAGGGAACAATGGCTTCGATCTCCGTGCAATTACTTCAGTGCCTGACCCAGTGCTCTGCAACATGGGGCAATAACTACATAGCAAAATTGCACTGACAACAGAAAGAGGAAAGGAGTCTAAGGCACATGGGGGTTCAAAATTGTAATTATTTTTTAATATGGCTGTGCTGGGCCTTAGTTGCAGCATGTGGGAGCTAGTCCCCTGACCAGGGATTGAAACTGAGTCCTCTTGTAATTCTGATGCCAACCACCTGGAGTTAGCAGAGACCCCTCAGGTTTAAGGGCAAAGTGCCCAACAAGACTGGGCAAAGTGCCCAACAAGACTGCCCTCACTGCAGATGCCAACTTCAGGTGCAGGGGTCCTCAGGTCACCTGCACTGCTGACTAACTGGCTATGAATTCAGGGGTTCCTACACTCCCCTTAGGTTCAATAATTTGCTAAAATGACACAGAACTCAGGAAAGCACTCCACATATTATTACAGTTTTATTATAAATGATACAAATCAGGGTGAGCCAAGTGAAGACACATAATGCAAGATCTGGGAGGGTCCAAAAGTGATTTCATGTCCCTTCTTCCCTGGAATCAGGACACACCACTCTCCTGACATACCTATTTGTTCACCAGTCAGGAAGTTCACCAAAGTCTCCGTGTCCAGAGTCTTTATAGGGTTTCATTATGAAGGCAGAACTGATTGAAATCATTAACCACATGGTTGAGTTCAATCTCCAACCCCGCCTCCCCTTCCTGGGGGTCAGGCTGATATTGCCTGGCTTGAAGTCCCCACCCTCTGATCACATAGTTGGTCTTTTGGGCATGGTCAGCCCTCCTGAGTCAAATTTCAGCAGAAGCTCATGTGTAGTCTGAGGGTCCCACCATAAACGACAAAACTCCCAGCGCTTGGGAAATGCCAAGGACCAAGAGGTTCCCTCTCAACAACCAAGAATGGAAGCCACTCAATTTATTTATTATACAATGGGGAGGACACATATTAAAAATCTTATTTTGAGATCTGGAGATGGTCTATACCAGGAGCTAGAGTCCAATCACGTGTTCCTTATTAAGGTGGTCTATGCTCCTGACTAGATTCACTTTCCCAGGGGCCGACATGCAGCAGAGGTAAGAAATGAGTTAGCTGGAGATACCAGGCTCCCATCCACCCATCAAAGTGCCCCAGATAGCAAACAAACCACTCGACAGGCCTCTAAGAGAGATCCTGCAGCTCTGGCAAGGTAATTAGAGACTTTATACCATTACCCAGCCACCCAAGAGAACCTTTTGCAAACAGGAAGAGGTAAGGGAAAATATAAACTACCACCTTCCACCCCTGACGTGCAGGAGGGAAAAAAGGGCCAACACAAAAGGGTTTAGGAGCTTTTAATGCTTAGCCTGAAAAATCACAGGCTGGGTTTTCCATAAACTCATTGGTCCATCTCTGGCAGGGCAAGACCCTGCCCGTCACTCAGGATATGGGTGGAGGCCCAGACCCCCACCCCTCCCCTCACCCCAGTCTTCAGGGCAGAGGGGCTTCCAGTGTAGTGTAGTGTTGTGCTCCCCCAACCAGGAGGCAGGAAAGCCAGAAAAGCTGTAGTGAGCACCCACGTGCCAGGCACTACGCAAGGCACTTCTAAGTGTTATCTCAGTCAACCCCCACACCAGCCGGGTGAGGCAGGGACCCCCTGTTATAGATGAGGATCCTGAGGCTTGGAGAGGTCAATCCGCTTGTCCAAAATCACAAAGTGCACAAGTCTCAGAGCTGGGATGGAAATCCAGGTCTTCTGGCCTTTGCCATGCCGCCACACTGACCTCCCCCTGACCCACCCTCAGCCTCTCATCAGAAGTTCACTTTTAGCAGCCACGACTCATGCTTTGTCCCAGTCCCTGTGGGGAGACGGGGGAGCTGCAGGAAGCCGTTCTAGGACAGGTGGAGATCCGAGTGGGATCTTTTCTCTAAAACAGCAAATAGGACCTCAGAAGTCACTGTTGGGGTCACTCTGCCGAAGAGAGGCTCCAGGGAAGCAGCGAGGTAGAGCGGCTCACAGATGTTGGCTCTCTGTGGAGTTGGGTACCACAGACGGAAGGAAGGTGAAGTGAGTAATCAGGAGGGCAAGCAGGAGCAATGTCAAAACGGCAGGTCCCCCAAACTGAGGAGCCCAAGGGGACCTTGTGGCTCCAGTCCGAGGCGTGTGGTCATCCGCTGGCCCAGAAGGAAAGGCCTTGAACATGTCCTGTGCCAGCCGCAGGGCTGCTCAACTGGTCAACAGCGGCAGCAGGCCCAGCTCGTTCAGTCTCTCCTTGGCCACCGCCTCCCAGCCCTTGTTGGCCTGTGGGCTGCGAGGGGAGGGGTGCAGGAGCCCCTCCACCTGGACCTCGGGCATCAAACCGGCCAGAGCCCGCCGCGCCCGCTGCTCAGCCAGGCGGCCCACGCCCACCACCAGCCGCACCCCTAGCAGCTGCACCTGCCGGCACAGGGCCGCGTCACACACCCCGAGGAGCTGCTCACGCTGCTTGGCCGGCAGCTCGGCGGGGGTGATGTTGCGCCCGCTGGGAGCCAGAAGGAGCAATGGACACAGGTTGTGGACGAAACAGTGACGGAAGAAGACCTCGGGCTGTCCACAGAGGTTCCGGAAAAAGCCCCAGAACCGGGCACCGCTCACCTCGGACTGAGGACACTCCAGTCCCAGCACTGGTCGCTTGGGGTGCTCCTGGGGAGGGGTCCGCACAGGCCCCCCAAGGCCCAACCAATCCCGGACTACACTCACTTCCCCAAAGGGCACCTGTGAGGAGGAGAGACACACGAGGGCTTGGAACTGGAGACCTGACGCCTGGGGTCTGGACCAAGCAACCCCTTTCCACCTTCCAGAGGGATCTAGCTGTCTCCCACTGTCCCCACCCCCACCCCAAGGCTGGAAACTAGGATTCCTGGCCCTTGTCTGAGCCTGTCCATGTTTCTCCAGTTTTTTATGTGGTCTATGGTGCAGAAGAATCTACCCTGACTAGCCTTTGGGACCAGGCACAATAAACATGAGGGGATATCCGGCCCGACGCAGGGAGTGATAGGTAATGGGGGGGGACAGACAGATGGCCTGGGACAGAAAGGCGGCCAGGGTGAGAGGAGACACAAGGACAGGGCTGACTGTTGCTCCCTGCGTGCCCTCTCAGCCTCAAGCCTCGGGCTGTCATTTCCATTGATCATCATTGATCACCTTTCAGCCCCCAGTTGGGGTCAATAAAAGCGATTGAGCCTCCTGCCCTGAAGCCTCTTCCCCTCCCCCATCTGCCAAGCACCCCCACGGAGGGGCAGTCGCTCATTCGGAGGTCTGAGAGGGAAGCAGGCAGGCCCTGCGGCCGGCTCTGTTCCAACCTCTCCTCGACTAAGAAACAGAACCCGGGCTGTCAGAATGCCCTGCCTCTCTTCCCTGATCACCCGCTAACCAGTCTCCCCTGAGGAGCCCTGGTCCCTCTCCTGACCCCAACAACACTCTAAGGAGAGGGGAGATCCGGCAAGGCAAGGTAAGGATGGGGCTGGCGGAAGGAAGGGCTCTCAGAGGCAATTAGTGGACCGCTCACAAGGGAAACGGAACTACCATTAATGTGCTTGGTTAACTACAGGCAGCGAGGCCGGGAGAGTGTCTGAGACCACAGGAGCCAGGGTATGAGGATGGGGGTGGGGGGCGCACCCACATGTGTCCACCGTCATGCACACACTCCTCCACAGCACATGCAGCCAAGCGTCCACCCTGGACCCTCCCACTCCACCCCGCAGGGGAACCAAGCTCTTTACCCCCGTCTGGGCCATGCCAAAGGGTCCTGGGTTCATGCCCAAGAAAAGCACTTGCTTGGGGCCCTGGCAGTAGCGGGTCACGTAGCTGCGATGTGGCTCCCACGCATACTCCACAGGGTTGTAGATGATGCCCACGAGCTCGGAAAACTGCAGTTGCCTCAGCTCATCGTTAAGCCGAAGCTCCTCCTGCAGGAAGCCCTCGGCCAGGCTTCGAGGGGAGGGCTGGGGCTCCATCAGGGCACCTGCAGGCTGGAGGTGGGGCCCCGATGGGAAAGGCTGGGGTGCAGCCATGCCACCGTCACCTGGAAAACAGATGGACAGGCCCCAACAGCCCCAGCTGTCGAGTGGGAGGGGTCCAGGCTGACCAGGGGCCTTACTACCATTCCTTGGGCTCAGAAGAGACTGTCAGTTAGCCCTCAACCTCGAGGCAGGTCTTCACTCATCCCAGTTCCTGGTAATGAAGGGCCTTTCCTCTCCTGGATTCAAGTGCTCTTCCTCTTCATAAAGCACCTAGTGAGCATGGCCCGTAACCACCAGTCATCCCCCTCTCCAAACCCCCTTTCCACCAGGCATAGGTTTAGGGTCACTAGCTCCTAGGCCATGCCGAGGTTTTCAATGACTATTTAGATGGCAAACTTTCAGCACCTTTACTGTCATCCTTAATAAAACAAGCCCACCCAGGACGGGCTGTGTCCTGGAAACCAACGAGCTGAAGGTGCACAGCCACAGCGCAGAGACTAATTACAGAGCTGATTTCAATAGATCCCAGGTGGTGAGCAACTGCTCTGTGCCAGGTACCCCTCAATGAGGCATATAACAACCCCATGAGGTGGGCATTACTGCTCCCATGTTACAGGTGAGAAAACTGAGGCTTAGCAAGATCAAGCAACTTGCTGAGGGTCACGCATTTAGCAAGTAATGCAGCTGGAATCTGAACCAAACCATCTGACACAAGGCTTTGCTTTTCACCACCCATACCCATCTTGCTTGAGACAGTTTGATCAGCCACCCTGCTAATTCTAGAGCCCCCCGCCAACCCCAACCCAGATTTTTGCCCACATTCAAGAATCCTCAGTGGTGAGTGAGACAATTAGCAGACTCAGACTAGACTCCTACAAGCTATGTAACCACGGCCAGAGCTTCAGGTTTCCTCATCCAAATACTAAGAAAAATAATATCCACTTAAAAATACTGGAGACCCATGTGGCTCAGTGGCAAAGAATCTGCCTGTGATGCAGGAGACATGGTTTCAACCCCTGGGTGGGGAACATCCCTTGGAAGAGGAAATGGCAAACTACTCTAGTATTCTTGCCTGGAGAATCCCATGGACAGAGGAGCCTGGTGGGCTACAGTCCATGGGGTCACGAGTCGGACACAACTGGGAGACTAAACAGCAACACTTAAAAATATTACTATAAGAAATGGAATAAGATGTGTAAATGGCGGTCGGGGGAGCAAAGTGGGAAACAGAAGAGGACAAGAAAGAGGGAATAGGGAAGAGGCAGAGGCAGCACCCCAGCTAGCTTTGTAACGCACAAAGGCCACTCCTTCCAATCTTCCTTCTCATCACTCCCATGTGAACCCAGAGGCCCAAACTGATCATTCCATTCACACTTTCAAAATGCCTTTCCTATCCGAACTCCCAAAACCTAACACATGCTATTTCCACAAACCCAACTTTTCATAGACTCCTTGACTAAAGCAGGACTGCCCCACCCCCCCACACAAATTTGAGTCATACCTGCCCTTCCAGATGAAGCTCGAATTCTCCCTCTGGGAAAGTTGTCCCTCTTCAAGACACCGCAGCATTTGCTGTAGCTTCCCAGCCCTACCCAACCCAAATAGGTCTGGAGTGGGGCCTGGGAAGCTGTATTTAAACAAGCTTCCTCAAGAGATTCCGACGGTTGGTGATGGCTGAGAACCACTGCATGTCACCATGGTTAGTGGCATCTTCATGAATTCACACCTTGCCTCCTAGACTAGACTTGAGGCAGATCAGAGAGGAAGCCCTGTTTCATTTTCCTCCATATCTCCAAGGTCCCAGCTTCTATCTGACAGTTAACTGTGTCCATCTCATCTTTTTTCAATGCTGTTTAAAACTACCTTCTGGGAGTTCTGTGGTTGCCTAGTGGTTAGGATTCCTGCTATGAACTGGATTCAATCCCTGATTAGGGAACTGAGATTTTGCAAGCTGCGCAGCGCGGCCAATATAAATAAGTAAAAATAAAACTACCTTCTACCAAAGATCCTTTCCTGACAGACTCCTCTTCACTTCTACACCCTGAGCTGACTCAAAGCTCAGCTGCCCGCTTTACACTCTCCTTGCTTCTAAGTGTTTGCCAGGCTCTGGGCACGTTTCCATCACATCTGGGCCTCCCACAGGGCAGGGATCATGGTTCTTCTCCCTCTTAAACCCATGTGCAGGTCAAGAGTAGCCTCTTCCCCCAGATGGGATCACAAGGTTGATACAATAGCTTGATCCATCAACCTGTTCTCTGACCCTAGCCTTGGCAAAGTGGGAAAGAGAGAGGAAAAAAATCTTAACTATGCTCCAATATAATATAAAAGTTTTAAAAGTCAGGGCTAAACTTAGGAAATCCTTCCCTAGACTGCTCTCAGAAGTCTTTCACTGATCTGTCCAGGTGGCTACCCAGGGCCAGCTGAACTCAAACAGGCTGAGCAGGGAGCTGTGGACAGCTCAGCTGTCTCCGGGGCCCATACAATGCCAACGCTAGCAGACTGCCTGCTCCAAGTCTGGCATCTCTCTCGGGTCTTAAGGTTGAGCCTACCTTTGATCTTTAGGGACCCATCCTGAAGACAGCAAGGCCAGGGATAGAGAGAAGAGTGACAAGGCCTTATTTTCAATGTTCTAGAATTTCAAAGTCTGATCAGAAGGCAAGAGCTACAGGCTGTGTGTCAACTGACTCTAATTCTAGTCCCGGTTTCATCTCTAAGATTCTCTTAAGCAAGTCATTTAACTGTCTTCTCTATGAGATGAAAATCAAAATTCCCATCCAACCTACCACCAGCTGTTAACTCATTTTTCCCCCCAATATTTATGAGTCTCTTACATGATAGGGCTTGTGGTAGTCTTTTGGTGGGAGAGAAATCCAAAATGAATGAACGACTCATAAACGACTGTGACATGGCAGATAAACAACTGTAATACACTGTGACATACTGTGATTCCAGCTTTAATGTCTGAACAAAACACCATAGAAGCCCAAAGGAGAAACCAGGAAGTTCTATGTAAAGTCACCCACGGGCAGAGATCAAGAAATGTCTGTTTCTGAAGTAACTGATAAATTAGAGAGTCACATTAAGCACAAGTGGAGGGTGATCCACCGGTCAGTCTGGCCACCTAGGCTCTCTGGCACTAAACACAGTAAAGGCAAAAGGAATCCAAGACCATCTCCACTCCCGTGTGCCTTGGGGGCACTTCAGGAATCCACATGGACAATCAGCAAATCCTTAAAACCAATAATGATAACAATAATACTAATAGAGCATGGACTCAGAAACAACACTTCATCTCTCCTCCTAGTTCGAGGGGGCTGACAAGTAAGGATCCACAAGAAATCTCCACGTCCGCCCGCGGGCTCCGCCCGACGGGAAAGCCTCGTCTCAGCAGGTCTCCGGGGCGGTTCCATGGGCTCGGCTCTCTCTGCGCCGGGCAAGCCCCTGACGGAGAGAGGGGCCCCGAAACACAGACATTTCCACTCTCCACCTGTCACCTCCGGCTAGCCCGGGGAGCCCTAGCCCGCCCCCCAACGCCCCAGGTTCCCAGACTCCTACTTCCTCACCTGGTCCAGCGCCCCATCCGGTTTCCGGTTCCTTTTCCCACCCCAACCCCCGCCGGGCGCAGAGGACCGTGGGAGTTGTAGTCCACTTTGTTTAGGGAAAGAGATTGGCATAGCTGCCGCCACTTCCGCCGGAAATACTCAAATTCCCGGAAAGTGTGCTAAGTTCGCCATAAGTAACTCTGGGGGTTGTAGTTTATTCTTTACACCAGGGCTAAATCCAGACGACTTGAGAAGTGAGAAGCTAAGCTCTGTAAGGACCTTGACGATCCTGGGCTCTACATCACCTTTCCAAAAGTTCATATACTTTTCCCAAAGGGATTGTGAATCAAGGAGCTTCAACTATCTGCAGTCTCTTAACTCACCTGAGGGTATTAACAATGGCTACAGACTATTTCTAGCCCTCCTGCTGCTCCAGATATGAGAGACTTCTCCTAAAAAAGAAAAACAAAAACCAAAAACACCTCTCCTATGCAGCCCTCCAAGGACTGTATATAGAACACCCACGGGAAAAAAAAAAAAAAAAAGAACACCCACGAAAGCACTTCTGGCATCTCTAATTAAACTCCTTAGTAATAACTTTGAGACTCTTGCATCCCTCATTACTGTCCAAGCCCCTTTACCATTTCACTTCTCTCCCTCCTCGGCCCTGCTGTCTACCCAGCCCTATTACCTTCCATCCTTCCCAGTCCTACCTCTGGGAATACTCTGTCCAGGACACCTTCCTTGACCAATTCTATGTTTGCATCTAACAGTTCATCCACTCCCACCTTCCCAACCCAATACTAATATCCAAAGCTGTCCCACTCCTAGCTTTGTTCTTGTCCTGTGGCTGGATCTGTTTCTGTGTCCTGACTATACTATTGTCATTAGACTGGAAACCCCATAAGGTCAGTTATCTTGTAGATTCTTCCCATCCCCACCCCCTGAATGGCCCCAGCACAGCCATGACTGAGACCAGAGGAAAGCAGTCTCCCTGCAGGTGGAGACCAATGAATCCCAGAAGAGGAAGAGGTGAGAGAACAAGGATGCTACCCGCTTCTCTAGCCTCCCCTGCTCTCCTGCTGCTGCTAAATCACTTCAGTCGTGTCTGACTCTGTGCGACCCCATACACGGCAGCCCACCAGGCTCCCCCATCCCTGGGATTCTCCAGGCAAGAACACTGGAGTGGGTTGCCATTTCCTTCTCCAATCCCCTGCTCTCCTGCCAACAGATAAAAACTTAAAGGGTGCAGCAGGAGCTTCAGGGAGCTGTGAGCAGTGACCCTCTGAACCACAGATGAGAAACCACCCCTACCCTTGTAAGACTTTGGAAACTGAATTAATCATCCCCTTCAACAAAGTCCACTATTTCCTGAGGTTTCATTTGTGCCATATTCTCTCCCTCTCTGTGTCTTTGACTCTTTTTGCCTATGTATATGTATCTCTATCCCTAGTCTCTTATATAGTCTCTCTCTCCTTCTGTATACATCTATCTCCCTGTCTCTGCGTTTTTCCTCTGGAATGAATGAAATAAGAGTATCCTGACTTTCAGACTGGCTCTTCACTCAGGCGTCTCTATCTCCATAGATCTATGCATTTCTGTGTTTCTAAACAAAAATTAGGCAGGGAGGGGAACCATGCTGGTGGCATTATCTTATTGCTTAAGAATTCTTGGAGGGAATTCCCTGATGGTCCAGTGGTTAGGACCCAGTGCTTTCACTATTGTGGTCCCAGATTCAGTCCCTGGTCAGGGAACTAAGATCCCACAAACTCCACGGCTTGGCCAGATTTTTTTTAAAAACGTCCAGGAGCCTCCCCATCCCTTTGACAACATTCCTGCCACCTCACCTGTCACCCATTGCTGCCAAGCACCATCAGGTTGTCGTTATAGCAGCCTCTCCACACTCCAAGTCAGCCGGCAGGACAGTAATGAGTGAAGTGACTGACAGGCAAGCAGAGATACCCCAGGACCCTGACCTACGATTCCATCTTCCTGGAAGGGCTACATAACTGTTTCTGTCCCTGTAAGCCCATTCACCCCTGGAAACCCAAAAATAGGGAGTCCCGACATGAGGAGAAACTAAGTCTTGGGCAACCTGAAGTCCCTGTAGCTGATCCTAGAGTGGCCTGAGGGCCTTCTCTGTCTCTGGTCCATGCTACTCCTCCCCACCTTGTGAGTCCCTCTCAGGAAAGATGGACGTGAGGAGCTCTCCCAAGTGGGGGTGATTAGAAACAGAGATCAATAGACTTTTAAGAGATGGAGCCTGAGAGATGAAACTTGGGCTGGGGTGGGGCTTCCCACCCTGCCTTGTCCATGTCAGTCTCCTGGCCCTCTGGGAAGTCTCCAAGGGGCTGGCTGGCATCCACGGATAGAACTTGTGGGGAAGGAGCAGAAGCAGACCTAAGCTGTGGCTTGGGCAGAGCCTAGAGAGTGGCGTCACTCTGTAGGGGCCAGCAGGGTTTGGGACAGGGTCCTCAGCTGCCCACCAGCCTGCTTCTGGAGCTGGAGCCCAGGTGGTAAGGGGTTAACCTGCGGGCTTGTTTTCCTTTGGTTTTCTTGGGCTGCCTGGGTTGTATTGGGCCACGAGCGCCATCTATCGGCCTCTGGAGGTCCTCGCTCTGACTCCCAGCTTACTTGGGCTTCCAGGCTGATCTTTCAGGTCTTTCCCTGCTATCTCCAGGCTCCTAGGGGAGGAGCGGGGAGCTGTCTAGATGCAGGGCTCCAGTGTGAAAAATAGCTATGGGGATTGGAGAAGGTGAGGGCCATGCTCCCCCTCCCCAAGCACCGGCATCACCCTGTTAGCTCCTGCCACCTGTGCCCTTGGGAACCCCAAAGCTTCAGGTGTTTGACGTTCAGTGTAGCCGTGTCCCTCTGCCCCAGTGCACTGGGGGCTGTCTCAGTTGCCCTCTCAGTCAGCCCAATAAACATTTAAAGGCATTGGAGTGGAGAGGCAATGTAGCAGAGGACTTTAGAGTGTGGTCTCTGGACTCAGACCGCCTGTATTAGAATCTCAGCTCTGCCACTTACTAGTAGTGACTTGGGGCAAGTGGCTTAATTTCTTTCTGCCTCAGTTAGCACAACTGTAAAATGTGATGATCACTGTAATCCATGTCTTCTTTTGTGATAATTAAATGACTTAATTACGTAAGGTGCTTAGTACAGTGGGTAGCACAGGGTTGGAGATCCATAAAGATCCATAGTTGTTGTTGCTTTATTATGGCCATATGCTAGGATCTCAGGCAGATACTAGTCTGAGGACCCCAGATCCAGGCCACAGAGCCACACCAGATACACAGGCACGAGGACAAGATTTGGCAATTTGTCCCCGGATATTTCCACAAAGAAATGCGCTAGATTTGGGGGCTGGAAGTTCAGGATTGCGAGGAAAGTGGTTTCAAAGTCAACAGGAGATGGGATGAGGGGAAGCTGGAGGAAGGAAACGCATTAAAAAAGAGGCATTAAATTAAAAAAAAGAGAGAGACATGAACAAGCCCTTTAAATGACCTTGATTTAGAGAGGTGGCAAGGAGTCTCTGGGCTTCCCTGGTGGTTCAGATGGTAAAGAATCTGCCTACAAGTGGGAGACTCAGGTTCAATTCCTGGGTAAGGAAGATCCCTTGGAGAAGAAAATGGCTACGCACTCCAGTATTCTTGCCTGGAGAATCCCATGGACAGAGGAGCCTGGCAGGCTACAGTCCATGGGGTCTGAGTCACAAAGAGTCAGTCATGACTGAGTGACTAACACTTTCACTGACACTTTTGAGGAGTCTCTGATGCATGGGGTGAGCAAGGACCACTGTACCGCAAAGACCTGTCCTCCTTGGTACAGGCTGCAGTCTCAGGGTTTGATTAGGCTCCCCACGCCTCCAAAGATACATCATATCACAGCCACATCCCAGAGCTTGCAGGGACTTAACCCTCGATGTTTCTCCCCCAGGTGGTGAGGTGGTGGGGTGAGGGAGGGGACTCACAAATGGAGAAAGCCATCCGCACGTCCCATGAGTTCTGCTCCCACCTCATTCCTGGACCTGAAGAACCAAGGGGAACTTGGCTGTGAATCCATCCATTTGTTTCTTAACAGGTATAGTCATCTCCCTGTCTTTCTGCCTTCACCTACCTCACTGGGAAATGGGTACATAGAATTCTTCTCCAAGGGGCAAGAATGAAAGGCAGAATGATACCCTCTCGGTTAAGACAGAAACACAGAGCCAGTGGGGTCCCTAGTCCAGGCTTCCCACTCCACCACCCCCTCCTCAGCCCCAAGGCAGCACAGACCAGCTTTATGGATTGATGGCCCTTCGCTGGAGGCAGGTGACAGCTTCCAAAGTCTCTCCAACTCAGGTGCTCTCCCTCTCCTGGGGCCTGGGCGCCTGGGTCCCCAGGAGAGGAGCAGGGACTGGCTGGATGGGTTGATTTGCATGGCTTACTTGGGAAGCAATTATCGGAGGAGCTGTCAGCTCAGCGCAGTGCTCTCCTCACTAATCGGATTTCACCAGAGCCTGGGGCTGGCAGGGGTGGGGGTGGGGGTGGCTGAGTAATTTGGCTTGATGCAGTGGTGGGAGATGTCGGGGCCAGGAGGCTGGACAATCTGTCTGAGTGGTGTGAGAGTTGTCCAGAGCAATTATTCTGAGGCAACCACACAGATATCAGACAGACAGACAGCCAAGGCGACTCATCCTATCGCAGCGCCCTGCGACCAGAGATGAAAGTTGCACTTCGGGCAAAGTGGGAGATATGTCTCCCACAGATCGAGCCAAATTGAGCAACTGAGAAGAGAGGTCAAGAAGAGTCTGGGAGAGGGACCAAGTAACCAAGTGAGAAGAGGACCCCAGAACCCCAGCTTCCAACCTACCCCCGACCCAGACCCTGTCCTGCCTTGCCCTCCCAGTATACCAGCCACAGGGCAGGGACTTGACCGAGTCTCCCAGCCCAGCTCCTCTCCCTACATTGCTTCCAGATCCTCTCTGGTCCCGCAGCCTTCTACCTGCCCCCTCCTTCCTAACCACCCTGCCCC